TACAGTAAAGACCATGTCCAGTGTATAGTATGCCGTATATACTGTGGTATACAGTATACTTTCATGCAGCATGCGCTACATACAGTATATGGTAAACTGTACATGCTGTGGGTATTACCGTATATGACTTTGTAGTCCTCTCTCCCTAAGCAATTTTTGGGTATTCTACTTTGCCTGTTGGCAGAAGAGGGTAGTATTTATTAATTTGCCCACACTTTGCAGTGGTTATTTAACCTCCATCACTTACTTCCAGTATTCTCACCCATTCTATAGATGAAGACGGTGAGGACAAGAGAGGCTTAAGAGTTTGCTCAAGACTTCACAGCTGTAAAGAGGGACAGCTGCAGAGCTTAATGCATGGAAATGCTTTTGACAGCCTCACACTGAGGGCAAAAGTCCTTCCCTTAGCAAACGCTGCACCTGTTGGTCACTATGTTGTTTGCACCCTGCACAAAATGCAGGGCCGTGTGTGTGGACTTGGGATCTTCACGGAGGACCTTCTGGTCCCCCAGTCTTCTAGCATGTGAGCTGATAGGCAGTGGCTAGAGGTAGCTTTATAAACGCTGCCCAGAAATTGTTGCCTGCAAAGGAGAAGTTTGAGCACCCAGGGCAATCGATGTGAGTGTGCAGGTCCCTCCCAGCTTGTTCTGGCCCATACATGATGTCTGAATGCTCAGCGTTGTCCACCAGGTGACATTTTGCAGTGCATAACCTCAACATTTCCAAAACAAATAAACACTAAGGTGAAGTATTAAGATGAAGTGTACTTCACTTTACCAACCCTAAAAAAAACAAACAAAAAAAAAAAACGGAAGAAATAAGAATATGATATTTTGGGGAGGTTGGTTGTTATATTAAGAAAGTTGGTGACAAAGACATTTAAAGTACCATGTTTGTGGATTATCCTTTAATTTTGACGATCTTTCTGCCCGCACCCACTTACGTGAATAATAAGACAAATCTCAGGTTCAAAGTCGGCCTGACGCACTTAACATCTACAAAACCCCTCACTTTCTGGCACTGGGTGTTACTTCTTCTAAACATGTTAACTTCACCATACCTAAAAGTGTGATCTTATCAAAATTCTTAGAACGAGTGGAATGTTGTTTGATCTTTATGTGGCTCAGTCTTCAAATATACGCAGTATGTAAGTATTCCTCTTTCAAATAGAAAGCAAACACATGATGCATATTACTGTTTACTCACATTTTGCAATTATAAGGCCTGTTTTTGTTTGAATTTTAACATACATTTTAGTTATTAAACCTGCACTATGTATTCATCCATCCCAGAAGCCACTCTTGAGCAAAGAGAGAATGCCTACTTTTTGAACAGTAGCCTCCAAATCAGGATTTCTCAACCTCAATACTATTGACATTTGTGACAAGAGACTTCCTTGGGTGGGGGGCTCTGTTGTGCACTGAAGAATATTGAATAGCGCCCCCAAGCCCTCCACCCATTCATGACACTACCCTCCATCCACGACAACCAAAAATGTCTCCAGACAGTGCCAAATGTCCCTGTGTGGGCAAAACACCTTTGGTTGAGATTGATGGCTCAAAAGTAGGTAAACATGAAATCCAGAAAAATTTTTTACACCCATCTTTTTTTTTTTTTCACTTTTTCCTTGTTGAAGAGCATTTGTTGCATTCAAAACATAGTACAAATGTTATGGAAATGCCGTAACTCTGCCGTCAGGAATTATTTTTTAAAATAAAGGGAAGAGGGGATGTTAATGAAAACACAAAATGGTAGCCATGCTTGGATGACAGCAGAATGAGTCTGTTGCTCCTCGGGTACTTGGTGCTCATCAATAAACATGTGTGAGTAACTGGTTGTAATTCCCTGTTGTACTTGACGAAGAGATTTACTTGTCCCATGTCGAAGAATGTGACCTTCTTCCTCTTTTTTTTTTTTTCCTCCCTTCTGTCTCCAGTGACCCTAATCAGCCTGTTCCTCAGGATACCAAGTTCATTCATACAAAACCCAATCGCTTTGAGGAAGTGGCCTGGTCCAAGTATAACCCCAAAGACCAGCTCTACCTGCATATTGGCCTAAAGCCCAGAGTGAGGGATCACTACCGAGCCACTAAGGTGGCTTTCTGGCTGGAACTGGTGCCCCACCTGCACAACCTGAATGAGATCTTCCAGTACGTCTCCACCACCACAAAGGTCCCTCCTCCTGACATGACCTCCTTTCCCTATGGAACCCGGCGGTCTCCCGCCAAGATCTGGCCCACGACCAAACGCCCAGCCATCACTCCTGCTAACAACCCCAAACACTCCAAGGACCCTCATAAGACGGGGCCCGAGGACACAACCGTCCTCATCGAAACCAAACGGGATTACTCCACCGAACTGAGCGTCACCATCGCCGTGGGGGCCTCCCTGCTCTTCCTCAACATTTTGGCCTTTGCGGCTCTGTACTACAAGAAGGACAAGAGACGCCACGAGACGCACAGGCGCCCCAGTCCCCAGAGGAACACGACCAACGACATCGCTCACATCCAGAACGAAGAGATCATGTCGCTGCAGATGAAGCAGCTGGAGCACGACCACGAGTGCGAGTCCCTGCAGGCTCACGACACGCTGAGGCTCACCTGTCCCCCAGACTACACCCTGACGCTGCGCCGCTCTCCTGATGACATCCCACTCATGACACCAAACACCATCACCATGATTCCAAACACACTGACGGGGATTCAGCCTTTGCACACGTTCAACACCTTCAGTGGAGGACAAAACAGTACGAATCTGCCCCACGGACACTCGACCACCAGAGTATAGCTGCCCGGTTCCCTTCCCCTTCCTCGGCTCCTCCCCCACCGGAGAGAGGGAGAAAGAGAGAAGCAGCATCCCCACGTGAGGAAAGAGAGAAGCAGCATCCCCACGTGAGGAATGTCGGTGAATGTCTGTCACCCCACTGACTTAGGACAGAAACAAAACAAACAGAAGAAGCGACGGGGCCACCGTTGTGTCCCTGTGGACCCATCCCGTTGGCATTTCCCAGTATTACGAGATCAACTTCTGACCCTGTGAAATGTGAAAGCGTATACATTGCCGTTCCAGGACTGCTTTACCATCCCCCATCTCTCCAGCAAACGTTTAGAGGGACTATAGGACATCACCGTCTCAAGGACCTGGATGCTTCCGAATCAACGATCGAAGCTGACCCTTGGGGAACTCAGCCAGGGACACTTCAAAAAAAAAAAAATTTTTTTTTTTTTTTTAATTACACCCGAAAAGCAGAACAAAACAAACAACAAAAAAGGGTTCTTGACGTGCCATACGATGGATGGCTCTACGGAAGGAAAGAAAAAGTGTGGGCTTTTACCCAGCATACAGAGCTGTAATCCAGAGAGGAGGAAAAGTAGAATTTTATTATTAAAAGAGCAGACTATGTAGTAACATACCTATAGTTCTGGGCAAAGAGATGTTTTGCCAGCCTGAACTATATTTAAGAAACTTTGTAAGAAACAGAACAAAAAAGTGTATATAGCTGTGAGTTTAAACAAAAACGCACACAGAGGAAAAAAAAAGAAAAATCCAACCAACCAACAAAAAAGCTTTTATTGGTGTTTTCAGTTTGAAAGAGCTTTTACCAAGATTGTGCTTTTCATTGTGGTCTGTATGTATATAAATATATATATACATTTAGTCATTCACCTCTGTTTCCTCCCGGACACAGGAGGGTTTTCTTCTTAATTCCTTGTGGTAAGCAAAGACACGGGGCTTTCTAACGCATTTCATTTGTAGGAGGATGTGGTGTGGCACCGTGGACCCAGACTCTCTGTGTGGTGGGGCTCTCCCCCTCTGCGGGTTGCGCAAATGCATGCAACAGCATTCTTAGGAGACCTTGGTTTGAGAAAACTTCTGTGTTCGTGTGTTAGCCTTCTCGAAGGTGCAACGCCAGGACGGATCCCCAGCGTGCAGTCTCTCTTGAAACCTTTGCGGAAAAAATTAGAAACACGCACGCACAGAGCGACGGCAGGAAAAACAAAACACAGATCTCGGTCTGTAGTTGTGGTTCTTTGAATATGTTGAGGGAGACTTGCTTCCCACCCCAGGGTCCTGCCAAAAAAGGAAAGAAAGCTTGCCTTTGGTGGGGCCGTGCCCTGCCGAGTAAATACGGCTCAGTGTTCACCCACAGCTGCAGAAGGCTTATGCTGCTGAACTACCTGCTCAGCTTAGCTAATCAGATTGAAGCGAGGGCATGTGTCTTTCCTTTTTTCTTTTCTTTTTCCTTTTTTTTTTTTGTTTAAGCAGTAAGTCCCTTATTTATCAGTAAGCAAGATTTTTTTTTTATTCTTTCTATCATTTATCGGATAAAACATATGCTTGTCTAAAAGTCCTGCCTTTCATGGACTTGTGTATCAGACCCTGATCAATGACTATTGCAGGCACGAAACCAACCCACAGAAAATGACAAAACATTAAAAAGTGCTTTGCATGGGTTTTCCGGGAAATTAGGGTAGCTTTGCCCGTCAAGGTAAGATAATGGAAATTACTCACCCATTTTAAATCGGCTAGCTGGGGACCGGAGACTCACCCTCCGACACCTTCCCATGTTCCTGTCGTCCTTTTCCTTCTCCTGAACGAATATTTTGAGTGTCATAAAGTGGAAGGAAAACACAGCCGGTGGTTACTCTGTATTTTGTCTTTCGAGAATTATTGCAACATCAGGAATTAGTAGCCAAAGATATTTGAAAATAGTGTCTCTGGGCTCGACTGGCGTTATTTTGGAAACCCAGGCTTAAAAGTCATTGCTGAGTTGGGGATTCTCCCCAAAAAAGAGTCCAACGTCCTTTTCCCCCCCGGGCACTACCTTTGCAAACTGACCCCCACCCCCCACGCTAAACCTGCAGTGATCTCCTTCGACGTGTTCGAAAACGCCCTCTAGAAAAAGACAGTCCTTAGAAATGCCTCGAGGTCACACAGTCAGTCCTGTCATTTATCTGGGTTTAAATTGGAGAGTGGTTGTCTGTATATACGTATGTGAACTATTTCAATCCCTACTTTGCACATGGTGAAACCACACTCCTTTTCTGCAGCTAGAGGTATCACGGATACGAGTTTTGTCCCCCAATTAATTCATCACTTTCTAAAGGTATCGTCAGGTCCTTTCTGCAAGCTGTGTATTCCCCGCCCCGCCCCCCCCCCCACACACCTGGGCTACGGCAAGTAGGCTCTCCATCAATCTACCATGGGAAGTGATGCTCAGCATCAGTGTGGGTCCGGTATGTTTGTAATGTGAATTCCAATATTTGTTTAGTATTTCCAATTGTCTTCTGCTAGCAATATGCACACTAATGTGTCAGGCTTGTGACATTTGGATAAGGGGGAAAAAAAAAGAGTTCTTGTTAAGTGAATAACTTTAGCTTTTACAGAGGATGTGATCAAAAGAAATTTAATACATCTTAAAGGATATCTTATTTCTACATGGAAAGAAGTTATAGAATCTTCATAGAGTTCTATGAGAATAAAATATACTTGCTATCTATAAAAAAAGTGAAAAAAGAGAAAAAAATGGGAAAAAAATAAGTAAAAACAAAAACAAACAAAAAAAAAAACTTTCCTAGGCTTTTATTCTTGACCTTCACAGGCACGCAGGGTTTAATGGTTTCTTGGGTTATTATTTTGCAGTTTTGTTTTTGATTTTGCCTTAAGTAATGATAGAAGATATATATGGCTGGACACATATGTATAAACTTTTCAGCAGCATTTTTAATAATAAAATATCACAGTATTTTCTAATGCTTTGTGCAAATAATTATGCGTCCGTTCTTTTGTTGTAGGTGGTCTATTTTATTTACTTTTTTCCTTTCCCCCGCTCTGACTGCCTTTTTCGTTTTAAGAGCTCAGTGGTACATCAGACCTAAAGGGACCCACTCAACTGGTAGTGGATTGATTTCTTACTGTGTCTCCTGGCCCACGATGTTTGTGCCATCACAGGGGACGTCCTGCCTGAACGCTGGAGGATCAAGGAGACCCTGGATCACGTTGCTGTTGTTTCCTGAACGTTTCTGACTTGCAACACTGGGATCTACGACTTCTCCCACTGCCCCTTTGTTCTCATGGTGCTGGGTTTGGCATCGTGTGCGACCTAATCATGCCCTGCAGCTTTCAAACAGCCTCCGTTGAGTAAGTCTTCAAGAGACAGAAATTCTGAGTAGATCTCAAGAGGCTGAAAATCCCCACCATAGAAGGGGGAGCAAATTTGCCAAGTGCTCACGATGCATCTGGCCATCCCCTCTCCTGTTCACCATCCACGAGAGCCCCCAGGGACGCGCACCTGCGTTACCCCCTTTTTAAAGTGGAGGGGAGGGAGTTGTTGAGGGTCAGAAATGTTTAGCGGCCAGGCAGCAGAACTTAGGTTCAAAGGGTCATAGCGTGCTTCCAAGCCCAAACCACCAATAAGACAGCAGGAATTTCTACCCCACGGGCATGCATGGCATCACAAATGAGCCAGTTATCACATAAAGAACCCCAGCAAATCCTGTGAGTGTTTGCTGCATTTCTATATGGATTCAGGTCATTTGCTGAGTGTGAGGCAAACAGGATATATAGATTACATGTTACATATATATATATATATAAAATATTTTAATAATATATTCCATTATTAATTCAATTGAATTAATAATATATAAGAATATATAAGTATATTCTGTGTAAAGTATGAAAACAGTGATTATGTATAATTATATAAAGTAAAATATATTAATTTTATTAAATTTAAAGTATATGAAAAATTTACATATTATATATAAGTATAATACATATTATAATATAAATATATTTAATATGGTATAAAATACATAAAATATAGCATATACCATATATAATCTGTAATGTATATAGTTTATATCTACAATACATATTATAATACATTATATATATAAATCAAATAAATATATAAATTACATAGTTTTATATATATATTAATGTTATGTATATTATATATTATGTTATATAAATATAGATTACATATAAATATGTATGAATTAATATATAAATATATTTATTTTATGTAACTATATAAAATATACATTATATATTTTATTTTATATAAATATATAAACATACCTATTCATTTTTATATATTTACATATTTTACATATTTATATACATATTTTATATATGGCATATATTATATATTGTCTTATATACAATATAAATATTTAATGGAAACACCATTTTCATGAATTCAAAATTGAAAAAATTCAAAAAATAAAACAAAGTAAAATTGAATGTTCAGCAAATGTTAGGTAGAGGAAGTCACTGTTTTCTCCATCATTGGATGCATTCTTGACCGTTCTAACTTGGAGAGTGGTAAAAAATGGATGTATTCTTTCATTCAGCTGAGTCCCTCACCCATTGATTCACCCAGCAAACCTTTACCCAGCATGTCTATCACCCCAGACCATGTGCTGGGGGTGGCATTAGAAATGAAAGGGAACACTCTTTCCATGCTAGAACTGGGCGTGAAAGATGGGGACGTACGGGGACGGAGTGTAAGTAGACTTTGGAGATGGTACCCACCGTGCCAAGAGGAGTCTACATGCACCCCCCAACCCCATCTGCCAGGAGTGGCGAGCCTTCTCTAGGAAGCTCCCCCAAACCCCGTGTCTCCAAATACAGGTGGAAGTCCATGTGACTTAACAGTGGTGGTGAGTGCTCAGGGAGGTCAGCGGTACACCTTCTGAACCGAGAAGACGGGACGTGTAGAAGACCATATGGAGAAGACCGGAGCTTTGTGGTCTTAGCTGGAAACTAGAAGGTGTCTC